CCCCAACCCCCCCCAAAGAAATGGAAGACTCCTGAAGAAGAGTAAACTGCTGTGGTTGTTTTTTGGAGTGTAATTCTGATGGACTGACGTGTCTTTCTCGCAGGGTGAAACGCCACCACATGCCTTCTGTCTGATTAACAAGAACCTGAACAAAGGCAGCATGGTAGGGTCGGATGTCTACCTCTGCTACAAGAAATCAGCCGTCAGAGGCAACTCGTTGGCCTATCAGTCAGGTTGGTCTTTTGAAAACTAAACGATTATTTAAAGAAGGGCACTTTGCCTCAAAATATTGCTGTGAAAGACACATATACTTGAGTATGAGTTTTGAGTCAGGAGAAACAAAATACTTGAAAGGGCCAGTTCACAAGAAATTTCTAAATGATTCAGAGAAGAAAAGTAGCTCTAAAAAATAATAGGAACACAACAGCGTTATTCTACTACAAAAACCAATCAAGGAACTGAAAACGTTGTAACAGACGATACAAATAGGCAAAGCCAACTGAAATGACAGGAATACGTTTAAAACAAGAAACTGTGCAATTAAAAGTAGCCGATGATGTAAGCTTTAATTGGGTCCAAAGTAATGCATGTACGGAGTTAGGTGCATGTACATGTAGCAATGCACGGTAACTACATTGCTCACACCGATGGCATGAACACACACATGTAAATGTGCTGTTGCAAATGTAAAGGATGACTGTCTGAAGTGAGTAGATAATACTTTCAAGTCGGTCGTCTTTCCCCTGGGGGACCAGGCAACATAAACAGTCGCTACAAGAAAGCCGTCTTTATCTCTGGCAATATGCCCGGGTGGGAGGTCTCATTGAGATTATCACCATATCACATCGTTTGTGGGACCCTATCAGCTCATTAAAAGCCTTGCCGTTACCATTACCGCTGTCACTGATAAACTTCCCCAAATTCAGGAAGAGCCTCATGCACACTTTCTGTTTCGCCTGAGATATATGGAGTGAGCCATTCGTGTACTTCCTCACGTCCCCTTAGCTTATTTTTAGCCTTTTTATTACCCTCGAAACTTGTTCCCGGGCATGATATCTTTTCCAGTGACTGCACTCATGCTTCATCCTGTTGATAAACTAGTTGTTAAGAATCGAAATGGACTGATTCTGATAAACAGATGAGTAAAATTCAATGATTGATTGCAAACTAGTTTTGTTACATGTATCTGTTCTATTCCACCAGAGATAAGAATGTAAAAGTTGCATTGAGTTTTAAGAAATCTCCGCACCTGTTGATACATTAAGTTTTTAAAATGCTGGTATCCAGGGAAAAGGGTGTAAAAATATCACAAAAACACAATTGATACCCAAAAACTACAAACACAATAAATTAACAATATACAGAAAGGAAAATTGATGGGATTTGACAGGTTACTTTCCTTGATAAACACCAGTTTAGCTGTTTACCATTTAAAGTGCAACATTTTCTTGGAAAACATTTGTGAAATTTCCTAAAGGTTGACAAGGTTACAAACAGTTAGGTTTATATAAGTGTGCTTATGTTCCATATCCTTCAATTGTCCTTCAGGTCACAGAAATGAAAGTTTGTTGTTTTTCGATTCGTAGAAAAGTACATGTATGACGTGCACTATGAACTCATCACATGTCTTGTTTTGTTTCTGGTATATACATGTATTTATGTACATGAACATTAATTATGAGGCTTCCAAATTCTGATTTTAAGTCCATAGTTTTTGTTTTTACGCCGTAAGAGCTGATTTGGGTTGACGGCACGTTGCATGCCTGTGAATCATTACCAGCAAAAGTCTGCTAAACTTGAACAAAATGAGTCTCAAGCTGATATTTTTTCTGGGTTTCATGTGAATGTCAGAAACTCTGCTCTATATTGCCATGCATGCTGATATACTGATGATTGTTGATTAAAAAGTGATCTGTAAAAAACTGTTGCCAATTTTCCTATAATTGGCATTGTGCAAGAAGTCATGTGCTGCTGTGGCAAGTTTAGAATCTCTGTGTTGGTTTTGGTCATATACACACAGTGCCTACCGTACGTGTACTTGTACTTTGCTGTTATTGCAGCAGCATCAAGTAGGCTATACCAGTTTTTAACAAATAGTCCAAGAGTGTACATAAGGGGAGAACCTCAAAAGATTGTTTTGTCACAAAATTGGATGTAAACCTCAAAATCTGTCAGATTGAAAATTGGACAGATTTGCTCGTGTTGTTCACCAAAAAGTTGTTCATGTCGCCACGGCTCATCCGTGTCTGGTGGTTTTTCACGCCTCCAGGAATTATGAGCCGCTACCCCCTGGTAGACGACGAGGAGTTCCCCCTCCCGGAGTCTGTCTCCAGGTTTTGCATGCCCCTGGGAACCACCATAGAGTGCTGGTCCACAGCTCGTCACCATCCACTTCCCGTCTTCTCAACGTTTGTCCTAACAGACAGCAGTGGAGGAAAGGTGAGCCTTTCCCCCCCAATCTTGTTTTGTTTATTAAGAAGAATAATTTCCCCAGAAGCACTTGATGATGTTTACATTGGTTGTTTTGCCCCATCACTGATGTTTTTTGTAATACTGTAACTCAGTGTTGTACGAGGGCTTGTGAAAAGTGTTGATAAAAATCGCATCTCGTAAGTATGTTTTGCGCAGTACCCTTTTTAAAAAAATTGCTTGAACAGGCTAGCTGACCCCACAAGCAAAGTTGCCCGGTGGGAAGACCTCCCCACTAGCAAGCAGGAGGTCATGGGTTCGAGTCCCGTTAGAATAAGCCTGTGAAATTTGCATAAGCCCTCAGATAATGCCGAGTACACTGTTATAAGTACACATCAGTGAAGGTCAAACTCCCAATACAAAAATTAACATCTCTCAGTGCAAAACCATGTTATCAGTGTGTCCACTGGAAATCAAGCCTTGTTTGTGATTGTCCTTGACAGGCATCAGGTGACTGGGGCTTTACCTGGCTCAGTCCTGCAAAATGTCCCCCCTCCAAAAAAAAAATCCTTATGGATGTTGTAGGATCAGGGAGCATTTGTATTCATATTTCCGAGATAAAAGTTCTGACCAGTACACAGGGTTTTTTCCATCTGAGCAAGAGACTTTTGAAAGCAGAGATGTTCATGTCAGGAAGAATTATCGTCCAACAGTTTTACGGCGCAGCGGTCACGTTCTACGAAGGTTACCCAGAGGAGAAGCTGACCTTACAGCAGCAGAAGGACCTGGGCCTGAAGGTGGGCAAGAAGAACAGCGTGAAGCTGACGTACAGCGTGCACACCAACAAGTGCATCTGTCTCCTGTCTAGGTGGCCCTTCTTTGACGCCTTCAAGAAGTTCCTGAGTTTCATCTACAGGCTGTCGCTCTCTGGTCCCCACACGATACCTATCGAACGGTGAGATTTCACTTTCTCCCATTTCTTCCCTTTTTTTGTGTGTGGAATACACCATCGACAGTTTGGGGAGGGGCGCTAGTGTGTTAAGTGCTTGTCTCTCACCACTGTGATCGTGGGTTCGATTTTTGGCCCGGAACATATGAAGTCTCACCTGTGCCTCTACGATTTTTCTCCAGGATCTCTAATTTTTCTCAGTCTGCAAAAATCCACAATTCTGATCTCTGGTCGTGCTCTGTGGGTAGGTGTAGGTCATTTGGTGGCAGGCTGGGTTCCTTTATATGCCTTCAGCTTAACTACGTTATAGTTTTAGTGTGCACAGCATATTTGAACATAATTGAATGGAATTTCGCAGTTGGAAAATGAATTCATTAACTCTAACAGTCCTCAATCCTTCACCTGTTGGAGGACTGAGGACTGTTAGGGTTAATAAATCAAGACATTATACAAGATTTAATTGCTCTCAAAGGGCATGTACATGGCTCTGAGGAGGATTAAGAATGGGAAAAGAAAAACAGTAACACATAAAAACTCGTACGTAGCCAAGTGTTAACTGTTGAGTATTTCTTGCAGTTACACAGAGGGATCAAGCCAGGGACTGTTGGCAAGATTCTTCTCAAAATGAAGGGTCTTTAATTTTGAAAGCAGTGAAATGTTAAGACTCGAGTTTGTTTTGCTTGGAAGTTGTGTTCCTGCTAAAATCCTGTCGCACATTCTTAGTGGCTTTATTCTGGTACTTGGATATTACTCCCATGTAAGATAGTAATGGCTAGGCTTGACTGCCCTGAATCCATGTAAG